CTATTAATTATTATAAGGGACCAAATTAGGTTTTTAGCCTTTTAAGTTTTATTTAGCGACCGAATATAATTTGGTCGCTAAGTTTAACTAATATTTTGCGACCAAATTCAATTTCATCGCAAATGGTGGATTGCTTTGTGTTTAGTAACTACCCAAATATAATCGGTCGTTAAAAAAATCAAAATTTCTTATTTAGCAACCAAATTAAATTCGATCGCAACATTTTTTTACAATTTAGTAGCTAGTTGGTCGTTGGTTCCGCCACAAACTTTGTGTTCATGAAACACAATCAACAGCGACCAAAATAGCGACCGATTTTTTAGCAACAACTTATTTTGGTCGCTAAATCAGTCGTTATTTGATTATTCACAATCGGTCGCTAAATCAGTCGCAAAATAGAGACTGATAAATTTTGGTCGCTATTTTACAATTTTCTTGTAGTGATAATTTGAAATATAATTAGTTAGAATTTTATATTTAACTATTATTATTTTAAATGTTATTGAGATATTTGCTCAACATCTTTTATTTTTATAATTTCTTTCTATTCTATTGAATTGAATTGTTCATGAATATCATTTTGATATGGTAGGACTTCCTTTTTTCTACAATATTAACTATTATCTTCTTATGATAGTAAACAATGAAATTTATTTGATTCTCTTTTTCTTTTAAGACTAGAAGAAACATGTAAAGTCACATAATGATTTACATCAAGTAAGACATATATGTCATGTTTGAGATAAGCATTCATGTACAAATCATTATAGGGAAAATCAAGCAAAATTAGCATCTCATGCAAATGGCAATTCATTTTATTCATGTTTATAAGTTCACAATGAACCCTTAAAATGTATCAGAGAAAGATTGTAGAAGCAAGTCTTGTGAAATCTCTTTCCGAAGTTTTCATTCCAATTTCTCAAGTTACTCTATCAAATCAATAAAAATTTAAAGACATGTGGTCCAACTTGAGCACTTGCAGACATTATGGACATGAACAAAGTCTTAGATAATTGGTATCTTGTAGTTCTGCTCTGACCATCATACATATTCTTAAGATGTTTGATGATTTTTTAGTGATCCATATCCTCATGTTGCCTTTGGAGTTTTGAACTCATTGATGCCAAAATGATACATTTGGCACTAAAGGACTATTCCAAAAATACTTTGATAAGCATTGGTCACCTCATCATCATCCAACTCAAGTGCTTCCAAAGCAGGCTTATCAGTGATATTGATGAGCTTCTCATATATGAGAACAATTTTTAGATTGTGATACCAATCATCATAATTGACTCTAACCAATTTTTCAGATTCAAGAATTCCATGGAGTGAAAGTGAAGATATACTATCACTTTATATCACAATTAGAAAATTATTTTACGTAAGGGTAAAATAAATAAATTTAGAACTATGAAAAAAAAAATATTTGGTTGTCAAGTCATTTCTCACACATAATCTATCTTAAATGTATCACATACACAAACATATATATAAGATGGGTATAATTACACCGGTGTAACTTTTACTAAGTATTATACATCGCTCAATAACTTTATATTAAATGCGAATTTGTAAATCCAACCATTAGATTGAAAGTTCATATCACTTTATATCTTTATATCAAATTTTGTTAAAATCGGACAACAATTTGAAGGTAACACTAGTGTAAAATATAGAATTTACGTCTATTATTTTAGGCTTTTTACATCATAAAATAGTCTGACGTAAATTTACGCCGAACATCGCCAAGGACTACACAAGGGAATATAAATAGCTTTTCTACGTCGGACTACATAGGAGTCCGACGTAAAATTGTAAACCTACATCGAACTACATAGGGGTTCAACGTAAAAAAGTTGGACTTATTTTCAAAATTGTCACCGCGTCTTTTTTACGTCGGATATTTTTATGTCCGATGAGAAAATCCTGACGTAAATTCTATATTTTTCACTAGTGTAATCAAAGTGTTCATATTTTAGTATATTTTAATATGTATATATTACGTCAATTTTATTTTATAAAAATGAAGTATCAAATCATCTTGAATTAATATATAATTTTGTATATATGATTTAAGAGTAAAGAACTTTCAATCTAACAGTTGAATTTATAAAATTCACAATTAATATAAAATTATTACATAATATAATACTTAATAAAAATTATACCAATATTATTATATTTTATATATATACCTCATAAGTCCCTAATTGTTAGATCAATCTTATTGGCATCTTACAAATTTAAATTAATTTTAATACTTTCTCAAATAATCCAAATATTTAGTATAGAATTAATTTCAAAAGCATGCATCACATGCTACAATTAATAAATTATTAATTATTAGTCTTGTGTTTATCAGATCGTTCTTTGTTATTAACAATAAAAAAAAATTATATCATATATAATTATTTAAACATGATATCAATTATAAAGTTTTAATATAAAATTCATATATATCAAATATTTTAAATATACTATTAAAATAAAAAATTATATCAAAATATATAATATACACGTGCGTATATTAACATTTATACATCATAATAATATATATCATCACGTACAAGTACGCAGTTTCGTTACCAATATGTATGCTAGCATATGAAATTATAATTATTTAGTGCAAATTATTTGAAAAGTGAAATCAAATAAAAAAATTATGGAAAAACAGACAAAAAAAAATTGTAGTGATTGTATTTTTTTGCACAAAACCATAATTATAGTACAATAAAAAATAACTTTTCTTAAAAATTAAGGCACAACTAATATATTTTATCTTGTTTTTTAAATAAAAACAACAATACAAAAGTATCTTTAAAAATTGTATCTTTATCACAAATACATTGAAAGTAATTTGAATATTTATTGCTTTTCTATTGTTATCTAATTTTAGCATTAAAAAATCACTTTGACCAAATTTAATACTTGAATCATATATTCTTTATCACTTGCTTCAATATGAAAATCAAAAAAATATTTCAAATAATTTAATTATTAATACTCTAAGTGCTAGTAAAGAATATAATAATATTTTACTTAAAATTATTTATTTAATTTGGTCAAATTAAATACTCTTATTTAATCTTCAAATATTAAAATAATTTCTTTAACAGAGATTTGAACACTCGTTTGTGTATAACTATCAATACTAAGTCGATAATAAATTAATCAAATTAATATATTAATCAAGATAGACATCTAATAATACTCCTTAATGTACAAAATAGTATGAAGTAATAATTTACTTTCAAAAACTTAGTAGAATATATAATATTTTCCTCCATCGTTACAACTCTTGATTAATTATGGAGTATGGTATTATTGTCAAACTTCATTAAGTCAACCTATCATGAATGACTTAACAAACTTCATTATTCTTTCAATTAATTTCCCTAGTTAGGATATTATTTTATTCATAGAAGTCAAACTCATTATCAAGAGTTGATAAATTCCTTCTTTTGATCATACCCATTATTCATTCAACTAGTATCCTAAGGCATTAGATGTTTGAAATTAAAATATAAAAAATTACTTGTCAATACTATGATAATCTTATATCAAACAAAAACATTTAATTTCTTATCAAAAAAATTTTATTGACAAATTAAAGTAATGTAAATTATTAAAAATTCTTAATTTAGTCTGTTCAAATGATCATACTCACATATGCATCATATATGTTTGTAATTAATAAATGAGATTTATTAATTTTTATCTAATAAAGATATTTATTACATATATATTGATCTATCTAAATTTATTGGTATCCCTCATTCAAAAATTCTATGATCAAGAATAATTTAGATTAAAATAATAAAAGATTTTTGTTTCTTTTTATTACTTTAATCAAATTATGTATTTAACAAAATAATAAATATGATAATAAAAATAATAATATTTTATTAAATTCAATATGATTACATGACGAATTGGATCTTCAAGATATTTAATTATTCTCCAACATATAATAATAAAAATGATTTTCTTAAATATTTAAAAAAAACACATTTAGTTAGTAATGTGAATGTTTTGGTAAAAAAGAAATTAAAATAAATAAAAATAAAACTTCAATTATTTAGCTGAGAATTAACTTATTCATCATCTCCCTTTGGAATAAAACCATGGGATTATGAAAGTTATTTTATTACCAGGAATGTTGTATATTAGGAAATAAAATTAGTAATCTTGTACTCCTTCCGGATTCATATATAAATAAAAATATTTAAATTTACACATATTTAAAAAAAATTAATTAAGAAATTAATTAAATCGTATTTACAATTTACAAACAAATAAGTTTGAGTTCTGGTGTTGATGATGAGAATTTTATTATTTATAGTATTTCTTATACCTAACTGATTTAAATAAAATTATATCTACTAAGAAAGTTTATAACATGATTAACTACTTAAATGCCTCACGCTGACGCATGAGGGAATAATCTCCTTATGGATAATATTTTAATAAATTAACAATATTAAAAAATGCTTTAATATATTTTTCATTAAACATAGAGATCGAAATGACTAAAATACCCTTAGATAAAAGAAATTAAAAATTAGAGGCTTAAAACAGAAGTGTTCGATCTGGTCAGCAACCGCGCGATTTGCGTCATTCCCATTGTTGGCAGTTTCTTCGCTGCTGCAGCATTGCGCCACGCCACCCGACGCCGCCGCCACTAGCATCCTCGCGCAATCTGCCCCCACAGGAGCGTGAGGAGATGGCTTAGGATATCTCTACCGGAATCTTCCTAGTGATGACGTTTCCGCTTGGTACACCAGTTTCGGTCGGCGCAAGTCAAGATAGGTGAAACGGTGCCGTTTCAGTGGCTTCCGTATAGGGGATTGAGTGGCATACACTTTCACAACAGTGAGGCACACACATTATTATTAAAGGACAAATATGTAAATTCAATCAACAATGTCTCAGTTATTCACTTTTTTGATGATGCAATCCAACGGTTAAAATGATTTTTCATACATGCACCACTTAAATTCATACTTTAATTTGGTAATTCTCCTATGTACCACTTAATTTCACGTCAGAATCTTTCTTAGGAGCCTCTAATCCGCGGTTATGTTGCTCTAACTAAAATTTGAGATAATACTAAACATTTAATTATGGACAAATACATAACTTGGAAATAATACACAACACAACCAGAGTTACCAACAGATCCAAATCTAGTCCTTTTAAATTCGGAGGTACTAGTACCCCCATTCCTATTCTCTCTCAGTTGCTGTTTTTCACTTTGTTAGTGTTATCTGCATTTGCTTTCACAGTTGCTTCACCAGGAAGAAATAACAAAAGGAAATACCTTCTTCTTGCTTTACCTTTCCTGATGCTGATAGTAAAAATCTCTCTTTTCTGATTTGGAACTTCATTGTTCACTTTCTGCATCAATTTGCTGTTGGGTTTTAACATTTATCTCTGCCATCATATTACTAAGGTCTCACTTCTGGGTACGTCATGATTTTTACAAGATTCTCCTCGATCCCAATAAAAGGTAGAACTTCAACCTTTGTAGATTCTTTAGTTTGTGCTCTCACTGAAAGTAGATTCCTGATTACATACACTAGAGGGATTCTAAGTTCCATGCCCCTTTGATTCTAAGTTGCATAAGTTCTTTGTTACTTTGCATTTCTTTCTAGTTTCTCAATTCCATCTCTTTAGTGTAGGGGAATTTTGTTGCGAGGCATGGAGTTCGAGACTCCATATCCAACTTGTTTTATGTCATACTCAAATTGGTTTTCTGAAAAAGTCCACTGCACAGAATGGACCAGCGAAGAGAATAAGAAGTTTGAGAGTGCCCTTGCCATATATGACAAGGATACCCCAGACAGATGGCTGAGGGTTGCAGCCATGCTCCCGGGAAAAACTGTCTATGATGTGATCAAGCAGTACAGAGAATTGGAAGAAGATGTTACTGAAATAGAAGCAGGTAGGATTCCAGTTCCTGGATATCCTACCTCTTCTTTCACATTGGAGATGATTGACAACCAATGTTATGATGCATGCAGAAAGAAGCCTGCAACTGTCAGGAGTCCTGAGCAGGAGAGGAAGAAAGGGGTACCTTGGACAGAAGAGGAACACAGGTGAGTTTCATCATCTTCCTGTGCAGGAAAATATAGTATGAGTTTAATTTCGTGTGTAAAAATTTGTATTCTGTTAACTAATAGGAAATTAAGATAAGTATGACTTTTAATTTTGTAAAAGTTAAAAAAATGTACTGACATATAGTATTACCAATTAGAATAACGAGTCATGACTCATGATATGACACAAGCAACTCAAACTTGCCCAAACTTATATTGGATTGTATTTGGATAAACTTATCTAGAAGTGCTTCTAAAAAATTAAAATAGAAGAAAAAAAAATTCTCTATAAATTATAAGACAATAAATTAATTTGTAGAAATTTTTTTCTATTAACTTCTTTAAAATTTTAATTTTAATTTGCACATAAGCTAATTTTAAACTTTTAACTTTGAAAAAACTTATTTTGATTTTGCTTCGTATTTTTATCTTCTAAAATTGCTCCCGGAAAAGCTTATCCAAGCATGGCTTGATTTGTTATTACTTTTGGCTACTATCATCGGTTGCTTTGTCAATCTAGCCAATTAGCTGGACTACATTCCAATTTAGCAGGTTAAATCTACTTGTAAATTAAATCTTAAACTGCATGTATTCCAAAACTGCTGACATGTTAAATATGATTTTAAGTTTGGTCAATTGGCTATTATTTATGCAGTTTCGATCCCTGTATATTTTTGGTTCATGTGCTTGACATGGATTTTTGGTTATTGAATTTCAGACGTTTTTTGATGGGACTTGTAAAGTATGGTAAAGGGGATTGGAGAAATATCTCTCGCAATTTTGTGGTGACAAAGACTCCCACCCAAGTGGCAAGCCATGCTCAAAAGTATTACATAAGGCAAAAGCTTTCTGGAGGGAAAGACAATAAAAGGAGGCCTAGTATCCATGATATCACCACTGCTAATCTAACATCAGATCAAGAGTCTCACATGCCTTCAGAGAAACAGAAGCTGACTACTATGCCAAAAGTACAAATAGAATGGATTAATGACCAAAACAATGGCTCACTTATGGTCTTCAACCCAAATTATGATATGTTCATGTCACCATCTTTCATCTCTTCCAAGGCCCTCAAGCTGAAAGAGCAGGATTTCTATGATTGTGCTTTTCATGAGACTTATGCTAAGCTTAAAAATCCGGGTTTGACGGCTTCTAGAGACTTCAACAAGGAATCTATATTCGGTATTCATGCACTCTAATGCTTGCTCTTATCATGTTATGAACAACATACTAGTTCTACTACACAGATCATATCTCTGTATGAACATAACTAGGGTACTTGTTTTATGCTATTGATAAGTGTCTAATTAGCTTGATTTAACATTCATTTGGATTCATATTTCTACAAATTCTCTCTATTATCTATAGTCTACTAATATCTCATCTTGATCTCAGAGAGATAAGAATACTTTGGAAGGTAAGATTTGACAACCATCAAAATAGTTATCAAATAAGTGGGTAAATAAATACATAAAAAAATAGAAACATAATTTAAAGTAAAGATAAATAGATAATAACAAATTTCAGTTAGGATAATCTAATTTAAATTATTCTTCTATCTATAATTTATTTAAAATTTTAATTCTGAATATTTATGAACTTCATTACAAAACAAAAATTTAATTTTTATTATAATTTCAATTAAGATTTTAAACAAATTTTATTTTTTAAATTAAATATATATAAATAAATAAAAGAAAAGAAAATATTATTAAAAAGACTTTAATAACCCTAATTTTTATACACATAATATAGGTAATTTTAATTATGTAAATTATAAAATTAATTATAGCATAAATTACTTACTTATATTTTATGCATAAAAGCTGATATATGCAATTCTTAATTTGGAGATTTGGAAAATAAACCTTTCTTCTATCATATATTGTTGAGACAGCTAGCGTGGGGGACCTTTGCAAATCCCCCCACGGTTTGAAAGTATTGCTGACGGTTTGATATATGCATCAAAATAAGAATGACTAGGATTTAAGCTGTTCACCGGATGGAGAAAAAAATTATATCGATAATCTACTACATATATATTTCGTCATATATATATTTTGAGTAAAATTTTAGGTTATTAAAATCTTTTATTAATTTTTAACCTTTTTTAATTTAAAAATAAAATTTGTTTAAATCTTAACTGAAATTATGATTAAATTGGAATATTTATTTTTGTAACTGAAACTTGGTATTATCTATTTATTTTTACTTAAAATTATATTTATATTTTCTATTTATTTATTTGTTGGCTTTTTTGGTAGTTTTGTCTCATGGTTCTCATCTTCTAGAGTTCATCTCTCTTAGGCATTGGGCCAACTCTTGCCTAGGAATCATACTATGCTTTCAGCATTATTGTTAATAGATAACCAACATAAAAAAATATTAAAAAAAAACTCACACTTAAAGTGATTTTTCTTTAAATTCATATTTTTTTTTAAATTTGTACACTTTATAATTGACATTCTTTGTCCAAGTTTTCCTACTTATTTAATTGAAAATTTCATTTACTAGTTTTCTCTTTTTATGCTTTCCAATGAAAAGATTATTATGGTGTTTTCTTTAATTTTATGTCATAAAAATTATGGGATTCATGGATTATTTGTTGTTATTCTCCTATTTTTAAAGTTGTTGCTTTTGGTGTAGGATCAACTTAAGTTTGATAAGAAGATTATTGCATAAAAAGTGGAAGAAGAGTTAATGAAGAGTAATTGCAATATTTTGACACTCTTTAAATGATAGCTATTATCACTTATCAAAAGAACCACTTAATTTCTTAGATCACTTAAGTTCTTAGATAGATTTGAGATGTATAATTTAAAATATAATTAGTTAGAATTTTATATTTAACTGTTATTATTTTAAATGCTAAACATTATAAATCAAGCTATTATTAGCATGTCATTTAATTATTTTTAATAACAAAGCATACTTTTTCTGTAATATACAATGAGAAAGAGTACATTACAAAAAACACAACCACCAAAATTTCAAAGCTGAATCTCTTTAGAAGCAAAAGCATCTCTTTATTGTTTAAAGACAACTTATTTTAATTTTTTCCTCAATTAAAAATGACTTTATTTAATAAGCCAACATCCTAAATTTGACCAAAACCATATTTATGTTGCCGTTCAATTTGCAACGATGTCATTCTAATGCACCTTAAACAAAAGATGTTAAGCGATGTTCAAGGCTTCTACATGCACTAATTTGATTCATTGCAAAAAGAAAAAGTGAATTTTATGTGAGAGCACGTTGGTCGATGGATGAAGTGAACAAAAAATTACCGATGCATATTTAACTTTTTAAGTAATGGAATGAAAAAAGAAATCAAAATTAAGCCTTTTCCAGGTGAATAGAATGGAACATTATTCATAATATTACAACAGGTATTCCATGATAAAATTGAAAGAACCTTTTTTT